CCCCCCCCCCCGGGATGTCAGACACGGCACGTGGCCAGGAGGTGGCTGGTCAGGACTTGAAGAAATTATTTTAAGAGTTTGGGGAATGTCACTGAGTCGTTTCCCTCCAACGCTAATCACTGAAAGCACTTCAGGCAAACCTGTCAGAGTCCTCTGTGGGTTTTGGAACTAGACACCAATTTTTCATTAAGTGCCAATAACAGAAATGAATTCATATTAAAACGTCCTGGCCCGACCGGTGCGGCTCAGTGGTTGAACATCGACCATGACCCAGGAGGTCAGGGTTCAAATGCCAGTCAGGGCGGATGCCGGGCTGTGGGCTCGACCCCAGCAGGGGCGCGCAGGGGGCAGCCGATGCCTCTCATCGATGACGCTCATCACTGATGTTTCTCTCTCTCCCCTCCTCTCTCTGAAATCAATTTTTAAAAAAACATTTAAAAAAATAAATGTCCTGTAGGATTGTTGTAGAATAAATAACCCAGACTCACGGCTCCGGCTTGTTTATGGGGCAGGACACAGAGAAGCTGGTCGCCTTCCTGTTTGGAATCACGTCCCACATGGTGGCAGACGTCAGCTGGCACAGCCTGGGCATCGAGCAGGGCTTCCTGAGGACAATGGCGGCCGTGAGTACTGCCCCTTGGGGTTAATGGCTTTGAGGGAGTGCCCCCCCCCCGCCGGGATCACAAAGGGACCCTCCCAAAGGAACGGAAAACTAGGCCATTCCCACGTCGTGTGGAAATAAGGCTCTTGCCCAAAGTGCCCTGGCAGCTGTCCTCCTGCGCTCGCTCCCGGGGGCCTCGCCCGTGTGGGCGGCGTGGCCGATGGGCACCAACAACTGTGGGGGTGCAGCGTCGTGTTCAGTCACAAACAATGGATGAGAAACATTTTTTAAAATTTATATTTATTTAAATATGTCTTTATTGATTTCAGAGAGAGGAAGGGAGAGGGAGGGAGATGGAAACATCATTGATGAGAGTCATGGATCGGCTGCCTCCTGCTCGCCCCCTGCTGGGGGCCGAACCCGCAACCCGGGCCTGTGCCCTGAGGCTGCTCAACCGCTGAGCCATGCTGGCCGGGCGAGAAACTTTGTTTTACTCAAGCTGAGCATCTTCGTAAGGATACGAATACCTGCTGCTTGGTTCTGTTTAACTGGAATAGTTCCACGCATCCGGGCTTTTTGTTTTCCTTTTCAATTTTTCTGTGAAAATGCCATATCCCCAAGGTGGCTTTGTGACCTGACCTGGTGACTTAGCTTCCAGAAGTGCCCGTGGCCGTTCATCGAGGTTGGACACTGGTCCGCGGGAAGCGGGAACCAGGACGCAGAGAGCGCGTGGGGGTCTTACCGGGCGCAGGTGTCCGCGGTGGCTTTATCCGTTACCAGGCGCTCGGCCGCCCACACAACTTCTGCTAACAGATAAAATGATAAAACTAAACGTTTCTTTGAACGCTGAGCCCGCCCTCTGAGCGCCCTCAGCAGTCCTGCCGTGGGGACGGCGTCGGCTACCCTGGGTCCCATGCAGACGGTTCTCTCCTCTCTCAGATGGATTTCCACAGCTCCTATTCCGAGGCACATTCCGCGGGAGACTTTGGTAATGTTTATTTCCATTTGCCAGATTTTGTTTTTTGGTAGTTAGATTTCACGTGTAATGAAGCCACTGCTTACATATGTATTTTTTAAATCCTGTATTGCCGGGAGCATATGCTGACTGCTTTCTGTTTTAATGTTGTGGTTCCCCTGGGGCACAGGCAGAGCTCAGTGAACCGAGAGGTGCTTCTGAAAAGTTGTGTATGTGGTTTGGTTTGGTTTTTTGTAAACAAACAAACAAACAAACAAACACACTTTATTGACTTGTTTGGTAATTTTAGAAACACTTTACTTCAGGTGAGCACTCATGGCCTGGTGTCTGCTAGCACATCAGCTTTAAATCAGTTACCTTTAAATATCCAAATGGGATGGTGAGTGGTGGTCATCTAGGAGTGCGGTGGCCCATCTTTTTAAAGTAAAAAACACTTTGTTTATATGGGTGACTTCCCCCCCCCCAATGCGTGTTTCACTAGCTAAGATTTTGAAAGATTAATTTTCTTAAACCCACCCCTGTACCTAAAACTATGAACAGAAACTTGTAACAATTGAATGGAACATGTAATTATCGAACAGAAACTTGTAACAATTGAATGGAACATGTAATTATCGAACAGAAACTTGTAACAATTGAATGGAACATGTAATTATCGAACAGAAACTTGTAACAATTGAATGGAACATGTAATTATCGAACAGAAACTTGTAACAATTGAATGGAACATGTAATTATCGAACAGAAACTTGTAACAATTGAATGGAACATGTAATTATCGAACAGAAACTTGTAACAATTGAATGGAACATGTAATTATCGAACAGAAACTTGTAACAATTGAATGGAACATGTAATTATCGAACAGAAACTTGTAACAATTGAATGGAACATGTAATTATCGAACAGAAACTTGTAACAATTGAATGGAACATGTAATTATCGAACAGAAACTTGTAACAATTGAATGGAACATGTAATTATCGAACAGAAACTTGTAACAATTGAATGGAACATGTAATTATCGAACAGAAACTTGTAACAATTGAATGGAACATGTAATTATCGAACAGAAACTTGTAACAATTGAATGGAACATGTAATTATCGAACAGAAACTTGTAACAATTGAATGGAACATGTAATTATCGAACAGAAACTTGTAACAATTGAATGGAACATGTAATTATCGAACAGAAACTTGTAACAATTGAATGGAACATGTAATTATCGAACAGAAACTTGTAACAATTGAATGGAACATGTAATTATCGAACAGAAACTTGTAACAATTGAATGGAACATGTAATTATCGAACAGAAACTTGTAACAATTGAGCAGGAACTTGTAACAATTGAATAGAGACCTAACAGTTGAACAGAATGTGTAACAGCGTCCAGCGCTAACAGTTTAGTCGCACAAACTTGTGTGGAAAGAGTCCTGCTCCCTGTGGTCACTAATCCTCCATGTCGCATTTTTCTCACCACAGGTGGAGACGTGCTGAGCCAGTTCGAGTTTAATTTTAATTACCTCTCACGGCACTGGTAAGAGCGGCGTACGTTGAACTTGTGGTACCTAAACGGCATGTAGGACTCGACCCTGTTTCTCCTAGAAAATATGACTTTCATTGTACTTAGGAGTCCTCTGCTTTGCAGATTTTGAAAAATAAAACTGCAGGTTAGACTAGTATAAGTAGATTCTTTAAAACATTTGTGAATTATATTAAACATAGAAAAGAGTGCACATTTATAGATAAACAATAAGAGGACGTGCCCTGTGTGGCTGCCCCCCGGTTTGAGCAGCGGCATCCTGTGTCTCAAGAGCTATAAATGCAGGAGTCTTACTATTCATTTTTAATCGGGTCAGCCTAACAATTACTGAGAGAAGTTTAAAATCTCCGCACAGTACGGATTTTTCCAGTTTTTCGTCGCGATCCTGTCATCTTGCTGCACGTGCTTGAACGTGCGTTGTTAGGAACATCTCAGTTGCAAACTCTTGCGCCTTCCTGGCAAGCTGAGCCCGTTGTCTTTGCAGCACCTTCGCCCCAGGAGCTTGCCGGCCCCACACCCGCCTGACCCGATGTTACTGCCGCCAGGCTGTGCCCATGGGGGGTGGTTGTTTCTTTGAATGGTTATTAAGCAGTCAGAGGTGACATGGTCCATCCCCGAGCCCCAGCCTGGAGGGTGGAGGGCTGGGTTGGGAGGGATGCCTACAGACCAGAAAGGAGAGCTCAGGGACGTGGCAGGTGCCCTCACCTGGCCCTGCTCCAGTTGCCTCAGAGCTAAGGGAGGCCCGGAAACGAGGCACTCACAGGTTACCCGAGGGGACGGGTCACCAGCCGGCCTTGGGTACCCCACGGAGGGGCAGTGAGAGCAGCCGCTGAGGGTCCCTAACGGCACACCGGGGGCATCTGCACTGATCGGCTCTGCGTGGGGTCTGGTCCTGTTGTGGGCGTGCCCCGTGGTCCTGAGTCCCTGGAGGCTGGAGCAGAGCCATATTTCCACAGAGAGGAAATTTTAATTTTAATTACCTTGGCAAATGGTAAATGCCATTTAATCGGTAAATGCTGCAGGCTGCTGGCGCCACTTCTTACCTGGGGCCGCATTAAGTGACAGTCAATCCTTGAGGCTTCTCTGAATCCACAGAGAGCTCCTGCGTAGGACAGACAGAGTCCGTGGGGCAGAGTCATTGTTCCCTGTTCCAGGGGGAGATTCCCCCCTCTGCCCATCGCCCAGGTGAGGATGGGCGGCTTTCTGTTCCTATGCTCAGTTTATTCAGCTGACACTCACGCAGGAGGTGCAGGCTCTGAGGCAGTCTCCTCGGAGTGGCCCATGCGGGGGGTCCCCACATGTCACCTCCTGTGTCCCGCATCCCATGTGGCCACCGAAACACCACCAGGCTCTCCCAGTGGCAGAACCTCAGGGCAAAGGCTGGCTTCCCTCGCTTACCTCTCAGAGTTTCCAGTTTCCATTTGCTTTGGGCCTTTGGAAAGTTTTCACCTTCTTGCTAGCTTGGTGAGTCACGTAAAAAAATATTTTTGTTTTGTCTGGCCTTTTGAGCTATTTTTATTGGAAGGACCATCCTGTGCTCTTGTAAAAATAAAAGCTGACATCAGTAGATTCTTGCTGATAGATACACTGAGATCGGGTTTTACTGGCTGCGACTTGTCTCGTGTGGTCTAAGCCGCCTGAGAGGACAGCGAGGCACCTGCCCACTGAAACCGCAGTGGCCTGAGCCGGCTGCCCAGCGGAGCTGTTGGCTGGGAAAGCAGGGCGTCGGCCGGGAAAACGTTGCTAGTGTTTTTACAGTAATGATTCTTCAGAACAATTAAACTGAAAAGAATAAAAACGCTGCCTGTTGCTCCTTGGACTCTGAATTCACAAAACTGAGATCCCGGTTACTCCCCGTAGCCTCCTGTCTTTGTCGGTTGACAAGTGTGTGGCGAGGGCCCCAGGGTCCGCTCCGCGCGGGCGCTGGCCCTGTCCTGGCGGCTTCCTGCCTGGGCCCCGGGGGCCTGAGAGCGGCCACGCGGCGCTGCGGGGGGG